ACTTTTTTAGTGAATATCTGCATAACTCCATCCTTACCCACATGCAGTCTCTCATCGCGACCTGTCACTAATGTGGCTTCACAAGGTAAACTTTCATTGCAGTGTTGAACAACATTTTTATCCAAATGTGAGGCAGTTTTGGATATATATTTGGAGTTTGCAGTGTACAGGATCATCGTATCCTCTGCCCCAAATCTCAGCCCTACAGCAGATCCATAATTGAAATCTGCTCACCTAAAAAAGATCAAATCTTCTATATCATACTAATGTCAACAGTAACACTGAAATTGTGCCATAAGTGATAATAATGTGATCATTCTTCCATGCCTCCGGCTCTGTCTCACACTGCACACATTGGATATGGTTTTTTGGTGAAAACCATTTCCATGACAGAATTCTTACCCGCACACACCTTTGCATTCTTAAATGACAATGTGACTAAAGTCAGTTCTCAAGGTAAAGAATCATTGTGTCATTGAATGGTATTTGCATTGAAAGAATTCATTATGATGAAACATTCTAGCATCTTCAGTCCAACATCTCAGCTGCGTAACAGCCATTTCATAGCACTGTCAGCCATAACTCTCAGGTTATACTAAGACAATCACAATATCCCCTTTCTTCCACGCTCTCCTGCTCGGTTGATTGAATTATTTTTTTTGTCGGTATTCAGTGCACAGGATCATATTCTGGTGTGTTATCTCCTGCCCAAAATCTCAGCTCCGTAACACTTGTTGTTTTACACTGTCAACCATAACTTTCAGTCTGTATCAAGTGAATGATGCTCTGTCCTCCATGCTCCACTGCTCTTACTCACACTGCATTCATTGGTTTTGATTTCTTGACAGCCAATTCTACAGCATCAGCCTCACCTGCACCCACTAACTCATCCTCATCTTCCAATGGTACCACTGCTGAAGGTAACATTTCACTGCATTGTTGAATGCTACTTTTTACCATATGTTTTGTGTTTCCTTGACTACCACATTCAAAGATGCCTCCAATTGAAGTTCCATTTTATCATTGTACATTATTTATTACCAGCTGTGATTGTTTGCTTATTTTTATTGAGCCTTTTCAGTATGTTGGATCATAATTTAAATTAGTATTTTTAGGTCCAGGATATCGGCTGCCTCACACACATTTTTGCAACATAACCAATCATACCCATCGGAGTTACTTTTAAAGAATTCACAACAAGCTTTTACTCAAACTGCATTTACTTAAAAATCTTTTTTCCAACTTGTACACAAAATATCAGTGATGCCAGTTATCAAGATTAGGTTTTGAACCAAACATACTGAATTTTTTTAACACTGACAAATATAAATGCTCAAACTTTGGCCAAAGGGAATCTGTCTTTCACGCCCCCTGCTCTGTCTCTCACTGCACACATTGAATTTGGTTTCTTGGTGAAAGCCATCTCCATGACAAAATTCTTACCCGCACACACCTCGGAATTCTTAAATGACAATGTGACTAAGGTCAATTCTCAAGGTGAAGTATCATTGTATTACTGAACATATTTTATGTTTAATGTCCAGATTGTTTTTATTTATGCTTTGAGATCATTCAGTGTGCAGAAGCATTCTATCATCTAGTATTGTAGTATAATCCAAAATCGTAGTCATATAACTGCCAGGTCATTACATAACAGTTTCATAGGATTACTGACATTTTGCACGGGCTTCAAAACTTTCAGTCTGTTACTGAACTGTATTTCTGTGTTTGATTTTGTGTATTATGAATTTTCCGCATGCAGCATCATATTTTATATATGTTCACTAAAAAATATCAGCTTCCTTACCTGTATTTTTTTGTGTAATCAGTAAAACTGAAAAGAACATCAAACATTCATAACATACCAGTGTTAACGGTAACAGATCCTGTCATAAGTGACGATAATGTGATCTTTCTTGCACACTCCCCTTCACTGTCTCACACTGCACACATTGCACTTGGTTGCTCAGACATCTCCATAACTCCAACCTCACCTGCATCCACTTCCACACTTTCACGTCACAATGTCAGTAGAGTCCTTTCTCAAGGTAAATTTTCACTTTGTGATTGAATAATTTTTTTTGTCTGTATTCATATATCGCCAGCCCAAAATCTCAGCTCTATAACACTTGTTGTTTTACACTGTCAACCATAACTTTCAGTCTGTAACAAGTGAAAGATGCTCTGTCCTCCATGCTCCACTGCTCTTACTCACACTGCATTCATTGGTTTGGGTTTCTTGGCAGCCAACGCCACAGCATCAACCTCACCTGCATCCAATCTCACATCCTCACTTGTTACTAATATGACTTCTCAAGGTAAACTCTCATTGTTTTAATGAACGCAACTTCTTTCCATATGTTTTGTGTTTTCTCATATTTACAGATTTGGATTTTTCAATAGGCCAAATTATATTAGAATTGCACAAAATTACAACATCATAACAGCTCTTTTACAGCACTGTCAGCCAAAATGTTCACACTGCGCTACGAGCAGTAATAACATGATCCTTCTTCAGTGCTCCATTGAATCACTTTTATAGTGAATAACTGCGCAGCAGCATCCTTTCCTGAACAGGTGGGTTCAGGAAAGGATGCTGCTGCGCAGTTATTCACAAAACATCCTTTCCTGAACCCACCTGCACAAGGTTTCCCTAATCGTTGAAATCTTGCTAGACTCTTAGAAGATAATACATGTCCAGTTGAAGTGATTATACAGGCATGTGCAGCTGAAAGTTAGTCTTTACTGGAGTATGCAGGGAATGAGTCCATTAATATTACTGTCACTGTTAGACAAAGGTCAGACATCCACACTTCCACACACCTCTCCCTCTCCAGCCTCCAGTACCTTTCTCACTGCTGGACAGAGACAACTTTTATAACAATTTGTTTTGCATATATTATTTATTTATTGTAAAAACCTTGCATCAGACTTGATATATCTCCTTAATTTCCATGAGGGGAAACCTCTGTTAGACCTTCAAGTCCCTCAAGCACTGGCACCTCTGACTTTGCACGCAGCACCTCCACACCTGCACTCACTGCAGAAAGCAGCACCCTTGTGGTCACTTCTCAGATTATAGGTTGGGGTTCTCTCTGCAGAGGATGTCTCTCTCTCTAAGGGGGTCCTATAGGGTGGGGTTCTCTCTGCAGAGGATGCCTCTCTCTCTAAGGGGGTCCTATAGGGTGGGGTTCTCTCTGCAGAGGATGTCTCTCTCTCTAAGGGGGTCCTTCTACATTTCTGTGTAAATTATTATCCTTCATTCTTTTGTTCCCAAATGGCTTCTGATTGTGCTCTTTTCTCTAACAGGCTCTACACACCATCCCTGTGGTGAGTTTCAGATGATATGTAACCAATTCAACGTGGTCTCTGAATGATAAATATGTTACTCTTATTAAATTTCAAAAGATCTTTTAAAATAAAAGGAGGAAAAATTCTTTCCAAAAAGTTTGGCATTTACTCCACCGACATAATTATTTTATCCCTTTTCTACATGCTTACAGTATTTCTTCATGTTTTAGACTTTAGATTGTTATACATCATTATTGCTTGCTTGATTTCTTTTATGACCAGGTATGTATGTCCACTTCATATGCGTCTCTCAAACTTTTGAATTTTATTTCTGTAACACAGGAAACTTCTCACTTAGTAAGACCCAATATGGCATCACAGTTACAGTAGACAATGGTCTGTCAAGTACTGTAACATTTGAAGATGAGGATCGTGAAAAGTACAGACTAAAATTCCAAAACATAGTGGAGATTTCACTGAAACCCTGTACAACCTACAGTAACATAAGCGTAACTCAAGGACCCTGCACCTTAAAATCAAATTCATCATTATCCATCAAAACCAATGATATTGGTAAGCCCAAGATTCAGTTCTGTATGCTATAAACATGTTCAAAGTTATGACATTAATGCCAGTTGATGTAATTTAGGCTATTTGTCCTGCTAAAGATGGCAAGCTAGCATAGTAATTTGCACTATAGCCTCAGACCTCTAGTGCTGTGCATGAAGTTTGCATGCTCTCCTGGGTTTGCCTGGGTATCCCTGTTTCCTCCTCCTGGTGAACTGATATCTCTAAATTGCTGACAGTGTGCAAATGTTAGACTGTGTGGCCTGTGGTAGATCGGCATCCCAACCAGTGTGTTTCCTGACCTTACGCCTGGTGCTGCTCAGAATGGTTTCCAGGCTCACTGTGACCTTGTAATGGGTGATATGTACAGTAAGATGATTGTATGACATTATTTTGTGTTTTAATTGTTTCAGCTGCCGATGACATCAACTTAAGTTTGACAAATGATAAGTTATGTTACTCAATAAAATGGAATGTGAGTCCTGGTGCTGAACTAAGAATTAATGGAATTCCTGGTGCTGAACACAAAACCCAAAATAATAGTTGTTTCAAAATGGAGGAGAAAGATTCTTGCCAAAATCTTAGAGTCAATGTCGCAACAAACCGGTGTAACGTCACCAAAGAACATCATTTAGGACCAGGTACGTTTATTTTAATTCTGTTGGTTTGTTATTTGAAATTATTCTTTGCAAAGCATACAGATCTGTGAGGGCTACATCATTGCAATGATAAATAATCATAATTGTAATGTAAGACATTTCTTTTAACTTATAACATAACAATATTTCATCATAAACTGACTGATGATTAGAATTTCTTTCAGTATTAGTCAGATTCCCACTGAAAATGGCATAATTCTCAGAAAGTGCAAACTGCTTTCCCATGACAGACTAATGGTATGAATGAAATCTAAAGTAATCCATCTAGTTCCTAACATATTTAACTTTTTTCATCTTTGTTCCTGCTCCTAGTTATAGAAACCAACTCGCTAAAATATAATAATACCTGGCCACCAAAAGTAGAATGGGCAAATCGACCGAAGACATGCAGCGACATCAAGTTTCATTACAGCTGCAAAAATGAAAGCAAAGGTAACTAAATGCTGTATTTTGTATCAAAATGGAATAAAAAAATTAAGATCAACCATAAACATACACAAACTCTGATTATCAGACATTTATATTTTAAGTGATTATAAATATAAATTAAGATTTTAATTATCTGCATTCCAGCCTATTTTGTGAAGTAAATGTCATTAATGTTGTTTGATAAGACATTGTAGTTTACAGCAAAATTGAAATTTGTTTTTGTTAAGTATTCGAAAATGGAAATAATGTGGCCTTGGAGCATCACAATGTGACTTGGACCTGCTCCGTGGACGTTACTTACAGAAATGACACCTTCATTGTTAACGGTACAATACTTAACATAAACTGTGGTAAGTACAAGCAGCATACGTTAACTACTGTTTTTTTAAATATAGGTTGTATTGCTTTTAGATCGTTCCTAAGGTAAGTTAGTAAACAATATTGTTTGCTTTTCTTCCAGAGAGGACATTTCTTTTACTAATGTGTTTCGAATTCCTTGAATCAAATTTTCCTAGCACATGGAATTCTTATAAAGAGCTTTCAATATACAATGCCTTTTATTGTCATTGCATGAAAGTACAACGAAATTAGGTATTTAAAGTTTAAAAATTAATTTGCATATATGCTGAACTGCAAAAAATATAATAAAATATCAGTAATGAATGTCTCATTATTTCTTCCAAGATATTAACATACACCTGGAAAATAAGAAAGGAGATACTTCTATTCAGCTCATGTGGAGCAGTACAAGCGAAAAGTGCCCTGAACTCCAGAAAAATCTTACTTTTGAAAGTTGCATAGACAGACAAGGTAGGTTTTCATTGGACCTGTGATAACAAACTCTGTCAATAATGCAACACAGTTAGTTACAGTTAGTTAGTATTTCTTCATGATCACAATTGAATGAGGTTAAGAGTAATTAATTTCATGAGTTAAATTAGTTCCTATCCAAATAATTCTGTATGAGCTGAGGTTGAGTGATGAGCAGCGTTCCCTTAATGGCCATTTATTCAGCCTCTGATTTAGACAATATAACATTAGGAGGAATAATGAAATAATACATGAGCTGCTTTACTGGGCTGCCCAGTGGGAACCACGGTGGTGTCATACCTCCAGGGTCGTGGGCTCTATTCCTCCCCTGCTCTCTGTGTGCAGTTAGTATGTTCTCCCTGAATTTTTCTGGTTTCCTTTTTAAAATGTTTTTTTTCACATTGTTAGGTAAATAGGTGTCTCTAAATTGCCCATAGATAGTGTGTGTGCCCTGCAATGGACTTGCATCCCATCCAGGGTGACCTCTGCCTCGTACCCTGGGCATCCTGGGATATGTTCAGGCTTACTGTGAGCCTGTAATAGATACTGTATAGAGAATAGATACTAAATAGAGAATAGATACTGAATAACTCTTCTTCAGTTACTTACCATGTTCTTTATTATGTTATTTTACTGTTCACATTGACATTATAAACAGCTTTTTCTCCAGACATCCATTGAATACTTCTCATATCCCTTAGAAATTTACATTAGAAGGCTTTTAAAATCATGTACCTTTTTGTGTTGAACTAAAAGAAATTAGTTAAACCTCGAAATGCAAAAAAAATCTGTTGTGTGTTACTGTTAAGATAGAGTTATTGTTACAATAATATCAGTAAGGTAATAAATTAAATGTACTCTTTTTACTTGGTTTTTCTGTTTACAGGCCAGTGCCAGGAAAACCAACATAATTTCACAGGATTAACTCCATACACATATTATACATTCTTTGCAAAGGCCTTGTACAATGGAACACCTGTATCAACAATAAAGGACAAAACTATCCAGACCCTTCCTGGCAGTGAGTTTTCTGCTTTCTGTGTTTTATTCTCTCTTTTATTTTTATTACAGATTACTTAGTTTAAGGGTTTGGTACAGTGACATCCCATTTTCAGGACTGGGAATGTGATTCTCATCCCAGCTCCTTTAAGTGGAGTTTGCATGCTCTCCTTGTGTTCCCTGGATTACCTCTGGCTAATCTGGTTTCCTACAACAGTCCAATAGTATGCAGTTAGGAAAACTGGTGCCTGTTCATTTCCCATAGTGTGTGAGTGTGTGTGCAGTCTGATAGGCTGGCATCCTGTCCAGTCTGTATCCCTGCCTTGTGGTACTTGGGATAGACTCAGGGCTCCTCAGCAACCCTGACATGGATGGATGGATGAATCTGAATCCATCTTTCAACCGTGTATCCTAGTCAGAGTTGCCGAGGGACCTGGAGCTTATTCTAGGCAGCATATGTCACAAGACAGGGGTACATCCACCCGGGATGGGGCCATTCCCGAATGCATTCATCAATTCCAGTGCAAATCAGGAAATGGAACTGGAGTTGGGACTGGAGAAAAACTATGGTGAGCAGAATTGGAATTGAAGTCGAATTTCAGGGAGATTTAAATTCCAATTTCAGTTCCAATTCCTGACTTGGATTGGAATTGACGAATGACCCCAACCCTGACATCCACTCCATTGCAGGGTACATACAGTACCAGTCAAAATTTTTGACACACCCACCCATAGGAAGGTTTCTTTATATTATTCTCTATATTTTAGAATAATTATAAAGACATAAGATAAATTATAAGATTTGATACACTGTCCAAATCGTTTGCACACACTTCAGGTCTCTTGCATATTCCACTTAAATTGTACAGCAAAATACCTCTTACTTATCACTTATGTATAGATTATGTACAGCTGAACATTTCATATATTTTTTTGTTACCATGCACAGCTGCTCGGAGTGACCAGGGTTACATTCCACTACATGTTGTATGTGTACAACTGTGTTCTTGACGAATAAACCTCTTGAATCTTGAATCTCATACATCATAGGCAGCTTAGCATTTAGCTGAACTGCGTGTCTTTGGACTGCAGGAGGAAACCTGCACAGCACAGGAAAAGCATGTAAACTCCACACACACACAGAATCATTCAAAGGCTCAGAATAATGGTGTGAGGCAACAGTGTGTCAATGTATAATTAAAAATAACTTATTATGTCATATAATTTAAGTGGCTTTTAAATTAAATTTTTACATTAAATGTGCTTTTCCCTTTTTTACAGAACCAAAGGGGAAAGTGGATATTACCATCATAGAGACAAGTCACAATTCCTATAATGTTTCTTGCACATTTGATGAAAAAGATGTATATGGTCCTCAAANTCTGTCTTTTATTTTTATTACAGATTACTCAGCTTAAGGGTTTGGTACAGTGACATCCCATCTTCAGGACTGGGAATGTGATTCTCATCCCAGCTCCTTTAAGTGGAGTTTGCATGCTCTCCTTGTGTTCCCTAGATTACCTCTGGCTAATCTGGTTTCCTACAACAGTCCAAAGACATGCAGTTTGGAAATTGGTGCCTGTACATTTCCTATAGTGTGTGAGTGTGTGTGCAGTCTGATAGGCTGGTATCCTGTCCAGTCTGTATCTCTGCCTTGTGCTGCTTGGAATAGGCTCAGGGCTCCTCAGCAACCCTGACATGGATGGATGGATGAATCTGAATCTATAGCTGTTGCCCTCAGCTGGATGCATAGGCTAAGTTCTTTTGTCAAAAGACATGAAAAATGTGAATTGGATAATTTAATGCAAATTATATCATTCTGAAATTTGCATCAAAGATATTAAATAAAAACTGTGCATTACTCACACAATAACATAACTATGTAACTAAAGATGTAGGAACAATTCTAGTAAAAAAAAAAAAAAACAAGTGAGCATGCAACAAGTCATGTTTACTGTCTTTTTCCATTTAAAATAAAAAAATGATAAAAATATATAAATCCATCCATCTTTCAACCGCATATCCTAGTCAGGGTTGCCGAGGGACCTGGAGCTTATTCTAGGCAGCATATGTCACAAGACAGGGGTACATCCACCCGGGATGGGGCCATTCCCGAATGCATTCATCAATTCCAGTGCAAATCAGGAAATGGAACTGGAGTTGGGACTGGAGAAAAACTATGGGGAGCAGAATTGGAATTGAAGTCGAATTTCAGGGAGATTTAAATTCCAACTTCAGTTCCAATTCCTGACTTGGATTGAATGACCCCAACCCTGACATCCACTCCATTGCAGGGTACATACAGTACCAGTCAAAATTTTGGACACACCCACCCATATAAAGGTTTCTTTGTATTACTCTCTACATTTTAGAATAATTATAAAGACATAAGATAAATTATAAGATTTAATACACTGTCCAAATCATTGGCACACACCTCAGGCCTCTTGCACATTGCGCTTAAATTGTACAGCAAAATACCTCTTACTTATCACTTATGTATAGATTATGTACAGCTGAACATTTCATATATTTTTTTGTTACCATGCACAGCTGCTCGGAGTGACCAGGGTTACATTCCACTACATGTTGTATGTGTACAACTGTGTACGTGACGAATAAACCTCTTTAATGTTGAATCTCATACATCATAGGCAGCTTAGCATTTAGCTGAACTGTTTGTCTTTGGACTGCAGAAGGAAACCTGCACAGCACAGGAAAAGCATGTAAACTCCACGCACACAGAATCATTCAAAGGCTCAGAATAATGGTGTGAGGCAACAGTTTGTCAATGTATAATTAAAAATAACTTATTATGTCATATAATTTAAGTGGCTTTTAAATCTAATTTTTACATTAAAAGTGCTTTTCCCTTTTTTACAGAACCAAAGGGGAAAGTGGATATTACCATCGTAGAGACAAGTCACAATTCCTATAATGTTTCTTGCAAATTTGATGAAAAAGATGTACATGGTCCTCAAACAAAGTACAGTGCAACAATACAAAGGATTGGTTATGATACAGAATATTCCCAAGAATTAAAAAAATGCTACTTTTCCTTTACAAATCTTTATTATTTATCATCATACAAAGTGAAGGTATTGTTTTCTATCATATTTTTATCAATTGTATCATATTTCACAAAGTGTAACTTTATGTTTAAATACTGACTTGCAAATCTTATATGGGTAATTATACAAAAACATGCCATTTCCCACTCAATATTTGATTTTCAGATTTTTGTTTTAAAATACGTTAAACACCCTTTTGGATTCAGATATTTACCTTAAAGTGCCAAACCATCTCAGGCCATCTTATTTTTAAATGTACTTTTACAAATAATCAACATCCATGTCTCTTTCATCAACCCTGTTACTCACATATCAATAACTGTTTAAAAAGGTTTTAAATACATGTTTAGAACAAACTTGTTGTACCATGAATTCTCTTTGATGCTCTCATCTATAATGCAGTATAGATACCTTCATAATGCAGTACCAAGCATCCTTAATTCTTATACTGACAATTATAATGCATTATGAAGGCATTTATAGTTAATAACACTAACCTAAATATTGTAATAACGTATAATAAAAAATAATCAATACATTGTAGCATCCTATTAGTTAGGGAGGTAACCTGCAAATATCCTGTAAATATTAATAGGAATATAGCTTTATGTAAAAGCATATATTTTCTGTCAACCCTATTGCCACTCTAGGGTAACAGGGTTGACGATAAGAGGCTTGATGAATAATGTTACTGGCGGCCATGTAGTAAAGGACATGACACCACATGGTCCGCATTCAAGGGAGGCTTATATGTTGTTGTACAGGTACACTTGAAATTTGAAATAACTTTATTACACATCCTTTTGTGGTAACAGGGTTGACACAATGACCATGTCCTCCTCTGTCTGATTTTACATGACTCAAAGAAAATTAGTTAAAAGAAGAGAGCATTCACTTGTCTTTTCACACCTTCAAAGAGGCAAAAGATCCAACTTCCTGGAAGTTATGCAACTTTTGAAACTGTCCTTTATCTCTTAAGAGGTGTTTTCCTGAAAAGTAACAAAGTTGACGACAACCTGGGGGGTATTCCACGAAGCAGGATTAAGGAAAAGTCTGCCTTTCTTTAGCTACTTTTATGGAATAACCCCCAGGAAAATGAAATTAGAAAATACTTCATTGTTTATTGAAATTTACAGAGCATTTTTTTTCATGAGGGACACAAAATGGCAAGTTTTTGTATAGCCACCCATATCTTACAGCAAATTATCTTAACAAAGACAAAGTAATAATTGATTGTTCTCACTATATGGTTTACATATAATAATTTTAATACATATATACTATTTGAGGTATTTCATTGACAATGGTGGGAACATTTCAGTGGCCCGGGTCTTATAGAATAGTGTGAATTACTTTCAGATACTAACCCCTGTGTAGTACTTGTCAGTGCTGAGATCACTTTTCACATCCACATACCTGATCACTGAAAATACTAGCAGTGGTAGGTCCTACACATAAAACATGATCGCACTGGGTACACTAATTTCTCATATGATTGTAATGGAATGTTTTTGGTAGATTTTATTGGACAAAACAATGTAGCTCAAGCTGCAATCATGTGGTGCATCACGTACAGTAAAGCAACACTGGTTAAATGTAACCTTTGAAGCTATCAATGTAACTAAACTATAATTCTCACTGGTAGCCTTAGATGAAATTTTGCACAAATGGTACCATAAGTTCTTAAAATAAACATTTAATTAAAAATACAGAAAGATGTTTTAATTTTGAATATAGACCAGAAATTATCATCCCTTAGACATTTCAGATACTGAAGACAACTGTAGAAGAAATTTAAAAAAGGATCAATCTCTCGAAAGGAAGCTGTCATTCTACTTAAATAATTCACTTCCTTTTTGTGTAACGTTTAAGGTTCTGTAGAATGCTAAGTATTTTTTAAGATATAACAACATCAATTAAAAAAGCTCTGTTGCTGGAAATATTTTTTTTTATTTCAACATATTACTCTGTTGCATTGCTTTATATAAAAATAATCATGTTTCATTTTTCAGGTTAAAGTGGGGAATGGACATTTTTACAGTGATGATGCATTCAAGGAATTTGATACCAAATGTAAGGTTTTATATATTACATGTGTATTCACTACTTTACATGGTACAAACATAAATGTGTGTTTACAGACTGCTATGCTGGCCATGCTAAACTGGTATAATGCTTAGAATGTTGTCACAGTTTTCTTATTTAATCAAAATCTAGATGTTTTTTACTGACCAATGCTACAAATACTGCTGATTAATCTGCACGTGGAACTGAATGATGTCATCATGTAGTTTTTTTCCTGTTTTCCAGATAATGACAAACCCATAACTGGATTTCTGGCAATTTTTACTCTTCTGTTTTTGAATCTGGCGTTTGCTTTGTATGACAGGTATGCTATTCAGAAGCAAAACTCATAATAAGTTCTTAAATAAACATTGTGCATTGAAATAACGTAAAACTAGATGCTTTCAGAATGGCAACAATGTATTCCCTGGATGGCCCTGTCACCCCCTCTCACCAATGAAATCCCTACTCCTCTCACACCCCCAACCTCTACGATCTCTACCCCCCCAATCTCCCCACATCTCCATGAAAATCTTTATTAAAAACCAGCCTTGTATGAGACTATATTGTTTCATTGTAATCAGGTTGTCAGATCTGTGTCTCTGCCTGTCCCTTCCTGTGTCACACATGGTTCGAATTACGGAGGAGTTAAGGGGTCTCGACCCCCCTTAAAAAGGACACAAGCTCCCTTGAACGCTTCCCCTGAGATGTTTAGACTATTTAACTTCTTACGTGATTCTTATGTTGTTATTATTGTACCTATATGAAATGTTACGGACAGTATTAACTGCCTGCAGTAGTAATAGTGGAATGTTTTTCGCAGTAACCCTGTTATTGACTGGGCTGCTGCACACTTATCTGTGTACGCGTGCATGTGACTTGGAAAGCCGTGGTACACCCCAGGAAACAGGGCTCCCCCAAAAGCCGCTGTGTAATTTGAACCCTGGCCACAACAAAGAAACACTGCAAGTTTTCTTAAAATTTGATCAGTTCCAGATCTTCACCAATGCAACATGTTTGCAAAGTGAAAAACACCGTAAAATACTTTTAGAGTTATAGGATCAAATGTATTCTGCAGCTGCCCTTTCCTTCCTTTAATGCCACCCAGAGGCTGCTTTAGACTTTCTTGTTGTTTGTAATTTTGATGGACAAGATTGTAAAAATTCCATCATAATCTACATACATAATACAAGATTAAGAAGGGAGCAAACACAAGGCAGCTGTGAGTGATTACCCAAGAGTAAATAAGGGGATCAGACAGACAGAGCGGGTAGGGTGTGACA